AGAAAACAGAAGTATCTAACAAATCGGATGTACCTAGGAAACCAGAAGCACCCGGGAAATCAGATGTACCTCAGAAACAGGAAACACCTAAGAAAACAGAAGTATCTAACAAATCGGATGTACCTAGGAAACCAGAAGCACCCGGGAAATCAGATGTACCTCAGAAACAGGAAACACCTAAGAAACCAGAAGTACCTAACAAGCATGAAGCATCTGGGATATTATCGGTACCTAAGAAACCTGAGACACCCAGGAAATCAGAGGTACCTGAGAAACAGGAAACACCTAAGAAACCAGAAGTATCTAACAAAACGGAGGTACCTGGAACCACAGAAGTGCCAAAGAAACCGGAAGTACGCGCAAAAGCACAAGCACCTGGGGAACCAGAAGTACTCGTGAAAGCGGAATCATGTGGAAAATCAGAAGTACCTAAGAAAGCAGAAGTACCTAAGAAATCGGAAGCACCTGCGAAAATAAAACTACCTTGGAAACTAAAATTACCGGGGAAACCATAAGTAACTTCCTGTATGCCACTTCCGGCAGGCAACTTCACTGTTACAGTATGCTTATATATATTTCTTATATTTACCTTTTTATAACACGTCGTACTATGTTTATGACAGGGTTTATTAATATTTATATTATTTACCATATAGTTGCGCCTTAAATTATACTGATGTTTATATCTGTCCAATGTACATAGTTTGTGTATATCTAACGGGGGTTGTTTATGTGATACATAGTTTATTGATATTAAGAAAAGGGGCATGTACCCCTAAAAAGGGTATACATTTTACTACATTTTATATGTATGTATAATATACAAATATCCTATATGTAACAAACATTATATTATGATTACTCTGGATGCAACATGTGGCAAGTATTTTTATAAAATGTAACAGTGCTGTTTTGTTTTTTTCCGCACTTGAAAAATTGTGGCACCGAATGAATATACCCGTTGTATTCGCACTATAGTTATGTCCACAATAACAACAACATACGTCATGTAGAATTTAGCCTAAGCAGATATAGGTATGCAGAGTCCCCTACAACAACATCTACAGGGACAGTCGCCCTGAAGGGGGACAGGGTACACAGCTGGTTCTGCGTCTGAAATATGTTGGAGCAATCGTGCACATTTAATCCCCTTATATCCATAAATTCCTAAACTGTTTGCGAGTACTCATGCCCGCTCTTTTGCACACTCATAGTCGTCATCTAGCCCGTCCCGTGCTGTCGGCAATTGTGCATTGCGCGGAGCGAAGATTTGCTATGTGCGTGTGCGCTGTGTTGCCCCCGCGGGATGTGCATGCTGCGCGGTAGTGTGCATGAATGCGTCGTACGCGCTGGCAACGCGAGGCCTGCATGCGCTGCGTGCGCGCCCGCGCATGCCGAACATACATTATGCTTCTGCAGCTGCTGATGGCTGCGCGCAGTTGCGGGCTGTAGTGTGGCTATTCGCGGTGCATATGAGGCCTGGCGCGTTCTGTGGTGCGCGGATGGCGCGGTACCGTCGCAACCATCCCACGCTGTATGTCTCTTATTTCTCCACGGTGCACGCATGGTGCGTGTGCGCGCTGCGGTCGTCTTGCCTGTGTGGTGGTTGTGTTGCTCGCGGTGGCTGCTGCAGCAGGCTTGTGCTGATGCTGGGTACATGATGCGCCAGGCGGCCTTGTGGTCCATGCGCAGGGTTCCATACTGCGCACGGCGTGCGCACACGACTGTGACTCGCGCCGCGAGCACATGCTGCAACGGTGGTAGACGCTGCGCATAGTGCGCGCGCGTGGCGCACGCGTTCGCCTCATGTTCGTGCATCTTATGCTTGCGCCTGCCGTGCGCCTCTGATACCACGCGCGCGCTCTATGCGAAGCGTCTACCACCGTCGCACCATGTGCTCCTGCACTGTTCTTGCATGGTGCACATTGTACCTTACGCTTTTGGTGATCCAACGTATGTTGCGCCACTGCTTGCTGTCACCTTGCCAAGTGTGATTCGGTCACTCGTGTGTCCACTACACCTGCGGCCTGCATGCAGCATTGTTCTATTCATGTTCTCCTGCGCTTGTTGCGCATAGCGTTTAATGTCCCAATGTTGCATTCGTGCCTGGGAGTGTGCTGTGCACGACCGGTTCTTTCCAACTGCTCGTGGTTCACGCACATTGCACTGCATTGCCGCCCTGTTTCGCACTTTTTCCAGCACCGTGCGCCATCCCGCCTCGTTTGTTCCCCTTTGTAGCTTGTTCCTGCGCGCTTGCCGCGCTTTTGGTTGTTGCTCCTCTAAATGCAGTCGTTTGTACTTCTTTATGGTTGCCTTGAATCCTGTTTACGCAGTCCCGCGCGCGTTGTGCTGATCTTCTCCCTCTTTTTCACCACCGTGCCTTGCTCCGCGATGCGCTTTTCGATGGCGCTTTGTCAATTGCATCGCGCACTCGCGCGTACCCTTCACGCTTTTTCCATATGCCACTGCATCCAATTCCGGACTTCTGTTTTTTCCACCTTGCGCATTAATGCATGTCCTGCTACTCCACCTTTTGTTTTTTTCTTTTTTTTTTTCTTTTTCCTCTCATCACCCTAGCGCTGCTGCTGTTCCCTGTTTTCGGTGCTTTTGTTGTTTTCTTTTTTCTACACCTGCCTTTCTGACTTTTACTTTTTTACTTCCGTGTTCCCTTTGCGATTATGTTTTTCCCTACTTTCTCTTCTTAGCCGCATTCTCATATTTCCTGCTTGTCCCTTTTTTTATTTTATTTTATTCTTTTTTCTATTTGTTTTCCTTTTTGGTCCTTTTTTCTCTTTTTTTCCCTTTTTTTCCTTTTTTTCCCCCCCTTTTCCTCCTTTCTTTGCTATCCTTCTACTGCATCCCTTTTTCATTCCCTTTTTATTCCCTTTTCCTGCATGCTTCATTTGCGCATTGCTCTTGCGCTCCTTTGGCCTTTTGTCATATGCACTTCCTGCATGCTGCTGCTGCGCAGCCCCTTTTGTACACTGTTGTCACGTATCCTTACGCTTGCATGGCATTCCTATGCTTTTTTCGCGATTTCACTTCGTGCATCGAAAGCGTTTTTTGGGGTTTGTTGTTTCTGCGTTTTTTTGCATTCTACGCCTAATCTGCGCGCTATTCGCACTCTTTATTATTCGATTATTTCTGCTTTTGCATTCGCACTCCAGCCTGTTGTTCGTTCCATGCGCTTATTCCATTGCCTGCATCTTGCACCTGCGCGCGGATCCATATTTTATTTTCCACTACCTCTCATACTATTTGTCATCCTTGGCTTCCACGCCATTGCATCCGTTCATGGTTTTGTGTTTGCATGCGGCCTGCATCTGGCCTGCGCGCAGACCATCGGTCTCGGTGCACGACGCCTTCCACGCACTACCCGCTCACACGCGTCGCCCAACGCGGCCGCGTAAACCTCATTGTAGCCGAGTGTACGCAGGAGGAGAGATTGTCTCTCCGAGCAAACGCGCCCGAGTAAGGGGGATTGTCGACGACGTAGCCCAGTAACAAGGACGCGGCGAGTAGGGCAAATTGATGTTGTTGTTATTACTGCGGTTTTTAGTTGTACAACGGGTTTAGTGTACGCGCACAGAGACAGCCAGTGTGTGAAGGCGTTTAGTGGAGACCGGTGTAGAAAGGGCGGCGGGTGGTGTATATTCATGATGCGTTGCGTGTAGTATTTTTTGTATTTTTTGCTTTTCTTTCTTTTTTGTTGTTTTTTTTTTGGCTTTTCTTCCTTTTTTGTTGTTTTTTTTTTTATGCTTTTTCTGATTTTATCGTTCAATTTTGCTGTGTTCTTTGTGTGCATTCTATTCTTTTGTGGTGCATGAAGTACAGCAGGAGCTTCGGAAGTATTAGAAATAGAGAGGTCTAGGCCATGCTTCCGGAAATGTATTTATTGTCATCATTCTACATTTACATGAGCAGGGAGCCATACATGTGTGCGGCGATATACATTAATGTTGGGGAAACAGTCATATTAAGTTATTAGAGTATTCCTGGCAACATAGAATAGTATTATACAAAGTGAGTATAATATGAATCCGAATAAAATACTGACAGAATGGAAGGACTATAAACGAAAAGGCCATCCAGCTGGAGAATGGACTAGGTTCCGGGTAAGCTATTGAGAACTAGAGGGAGAACGGAGAAGAGCTTTGTGGACACTCGCAGCGACCGATGCAAGATGCCGAATATACGTGAATCGGACTTATGCAGCACAGTTGTGCGTTTTTAGTTTGAATATAGTGCGCAAGCAGCATTCATACAGTAACAGGGGACAATACGTACGGGTAGGTATCGGCAACCACCACGACAAAAACGATGAACAGCACATGTACATACAGGTGTGTTCATGTTTTCTGAATTGTAGGAATGGTTATGGCAGGAGATAGAACCAATATTACAAGAGTTTATTGCATACATGCAACAGAAGGACATGTGGGACGTTTACGGGAGCAACTGCAACAACCATTTTTATTACCACAGTGGAACAGGGTATGAGCACCACGTTAAGTGGCCCGGTACCAAGGTTATGTGCAAAATTATGTCCACAGCACTATTCTTCCTAACCGACACCAATGGGTTACTAGATTTTACGCGCGACGCGGATGAGCCAGTACAAAAATTAAGACAACTTATAGGGTGCACAATTGTAAATGTGTTTATGCATATACTGGAGGCGACCGTATGTGAGGGACACTGGGGGCTAGAGTATGCCTGGTACGTCATGAGGGAGAAGATGGAGGGGACGCCGACCAACATTATAAAAAGGAAGGAATGTGTCGAAGGGTTCATAGACAACGTTAACCTTGGGAGTTGGAGTATGAAGGCAAAAATTAAGGAGTGGATACAGAAGAACACGGACTTACGTACTTGGGCCCAGGATACAGAAATTAAAAGGATGTGCCCAACTGCCCCAGAAAAGAGTACAGAGGCGCAGAGAACAGGGAAGGGAGAGGGTAAATGGCAGGAGGGGGGGCCAAGTACAGACACATATGGAGAACAGGAAGTAAGGGCACACATGGAGACAGGACTCAAACGCGTCATAGGAAGCGGCATGCACGAGATAATGACAAAGGTGGGTGAACAGTTGGAAGCAGGAAGCAAGCCACCGAACACTGGACAACCGGGTACAGGAGCAAGGAAGCCAGGATCGGGGACACACGCAGCTGCGGGACCCAATGCGCCACCCACGACACCAGGAGGAGCACAACAGGACAGCAAGAAGGACACAATAAGTGAAGAGGACAACACGCATGGTAAGAACACGTTTCGTAAGAACACGAATAAACGGCCGAATACGCATGCCAAAGGATGACACGCCCCAATACGTACCGTACGAATATGGATGGATGCCACGGCTGGCACGACTACGCGGCGCGCATGTATACCGCATGAATATGCATGCCGTCGCCAACAACAACGCGCACGGCGGAACATCACCCCGTTCGTGGAGCCGAGATGTGCGGCCACGACAGGAGCGGCGGTACCGAACGGCCCCATAAGTGTACTGCTACCATCTACCCCCAGTTCACCGCGTGCGCAGTCCATCGAGTGGACACGGCCGCTACCTGACCGCACCGTCCCGGCCCCTTCTTTCTGTGCCACTGGTGTCCCGTTTTTTTTTATCATCTTTTCATTTTTTTATCTGTCTTCCTTTCCTCCATCATTTTATCAGCAAAGGATAAACCAGGCAACACGGAGGGAGCACCAGCACAAGGGAAAACGGCAGATGGAGCAGATACGAAGACACCAAAGGACAAGAAGAGTGATTCTGGATCCTCGGGACTTGAGGGAACAGGGGGCGCAAGAGCAGGGTCAACGAAAGCAAAGGACACTAACAGCCCCAACGCAGCAGGATCCGATGATGAAGGCACGGGCGCCACACAACCAGGACCACAACCACCACCACAAGCACCTGCATCCCCAGTACCATCATCGCCACCAGCATCGATCACTCCCCAGGCAGAACCAGCACCAGCAGGCGGATCTGCCGGTACAGGCAGTACAGGTAATATCGGATGTCACGACAGCGGCGTCACATCCTCCAGTGTATCTGTTACCTGTGGTACATATACTGCTCCGGGCTTGGAAGCCCCTCGTATTCCTCCGGGTGTTGCGGTCATAGATGAGGATGCTAACACCGGCCCAGGTATACTCTCTTTTGTAGTTAACATGGGTACTCTCTGTACCATGTGCACGGTATTATGGGGAAAGTGTGTACCACGGCACAAACACATACAGGGAGAGGACACAACAAAAAAAAAAAAGAGAACAACTGTTCCGGAGAGACAGAGGGAGTGACACCACGCAGAGAGAGAAACCAAACGTCGAATAAGAATGAGCGGCACGCAGAGCGGCAGAGTGATGGGTCGGGCGCGGGATGTAGACAGCTAGACGTCGACAGACAGACAGACACACACCTTGTGTTGTGTGTTGTGTCTTGTGCGTGTTGTGTGTGGGTGGGAGAGAGAGAGAGTCTTTTCCCGGGGTGGCACCTGCCAACCACCGTTCGCACCATGGCCACCCATCAGCGACGGATCATGGCCAATAAGCGATCGACCACAAACACGGTCGACCGCGGTGCCAACCATCCAACGACCAACCTGGGCACGCGGCAACCGAGCATGGTCAAGCGTGGCCATGAGCATCCATTGCACAAAACATCAGTTTCCTTCTTTATTCTTTCCCTCACCTTATTTTATAGGTACTGGTGACACTAAAGACGTGACGGCACCGGACCACAAAAACGGAGTATCACAGTCTCCAGAACTGACACCAGGACCTGGGCCATCACCTGCATCTCCCGAGGCACAGCCGGCACTGCCGGCACCACCGGAAACACCAGTAGAAACAACCACTACCACGTCCACGCAGACACCGTCTGCAGCGGAACCCGGGGCACCGGGTCCACCTGGACCACCGGGTCCCTCTGGTCAACCAGGTGCAGCAGGTGAAACGGGTGAAAAAGGTGCAACCGGCGCCCTCGGTAACAGTAGTGCGGATGCCGTCGTCGATGGCGGCAACGATGACCCCCCTCCTCTCAATCCACCCAAACCGAATCCGAACCCAGATCAATCGGGGAGCGGCCCCGGCGGCACCGGCGCGGGCGGTCTACCAGATGGTGCTGGTGGTGGAGCAGGACGTGGAGGCGGGGGAGGAAGTGGAAGTTCCCCCAGTTCAACCACAAGCCGCGCTACTGCTTCTAATGGAGACGATAAGGAAAACAACGCTGCCGACAGTAAAATGCAGGCTGAAAATGTTGGATTTGAATTAGACCTTAAACCATACAAAGGGGGCCTGGATGGATCATATGCACCACCAAGCCCAGAGGTTACAGCATCTGATAAACCAGTTACAATTCCGGGGCGCTCGAAAGATGATGACGCTATCTCCCCCATCTTCACTGCAAAGGACATCTTCCTTTCTTCCTCTGTTCTTATCTTCGTTGCATCCGTCACTTCCCTTATCGTCCTCTATTCCCTTTGGAAAGTAAGCACACAAAACCGCACAACGCACACAAGCACGCACAAATATAACCGAGTGGACACCATATATGCGTATTCGTAATATGCACCATAAGAGTGTGTTCCTAAGGAGCTTCCTTACATGATGATGCCAACACAAATGCATTCTCCTCACCCTCCTCTTTACCCCTTTTTTCTGTTTAGTACTTTGCGCACCTCGCCAAACGACGACGAACATATCGAACCGTTCGTGACGTTCCGTCACCGCCACTCGACGCAGAAATATTGCAGCATCTACAACGCGGCGAGCCGCCACCAGATTACGGGTACACGATGGTTAGGGCTAGGCAGCCCGGCAGATTGCCCGCCGCACGACGACGACGCCCACCACGCGTGCATAAACGCACCATCATCGACCTACACTTAGAAGTGCTACACGAATGTGAAGCGGCCGAATGGGAAAACGTCAAAGACGACTATTGGCAGATTGTCGTGCAGGAGTTTGCGCCCGACTTGGAACAGGAAGAGGACACGAATAACAATATCTTGGGTGTTTCTACCTCACACGCCGCTTTAGCAACCCACGATTCGACAACCCGCGCTCCACCCACTGACTTCGACGGAACAGATCCATGTCCACCACATGACCCCGATCCATGGAGTTGTATGGAAACCATACAGTCAGAAACGGACCCTTGTCCACCGAATGCAGCGGACCCCGATGCATGTAGTTGTATGGAAACTATACAGTTAGATGCACCACACAGTCGTGCCCCTACTGTTCCGGGGGACGCGACGTCGCATTGCACCCATTGGATTAACTGGATTGACCGCAACAAAGATATTCTGCGGGAGTGCACGGGGCACACGTGGTTTTTGCAATTAAAAGCGGATTGGCAACAATACCTGCGCGAGCACATGGTGGCAAACGAGCACAACGTAGTATACGGGCACCGTGAACTCGGTGATGCGGCAACCATGGAACGGAAGAAATTGGACCTGTGGAAAGAATGGGTAGCGCAACAACATGCGCTTATGCATATATATGGTGCGGAGGAGTGGTTCCAACATTTGTTGCATACTGTTGCGCACGAGACCACAGAAGAGACGGGATCCCAGAGGGAACAAACTTTTCACGCAAACAACATCCCTACAGCACAGGAAGGAGCAACCGACGCAGCAGCACAAAAGCGGGCCCCTGAAAATATACCGTTGACGAAGGTAAAAGAACCAGAACAGCAGCACGACCACTATCCGGAATTGCGACATACGGAGCACTTAACCGCTCACAAACTGTGGATGCTCGTCCTATCCTTACTTATTGAGGAATGTGACATGGAGCAGAATATGAAGGAGACGGAGTTATATGTAGATGACCTATTGGAGCAACTGTGACATTAGTATGACGCACCATATGCATGCGACATAACGCATGCTAACCGTACACCACTTTTATTTCATTATGTGATATACATAATATATTTCGCGTTTACATTATTCCATACGTTTTTTTTTTTGCTGCTCTGTTCTGCTTACTTCTGTTTCTTTATGCTTACTTTTGCCCTGTTTTGTTCTTTTTCTGTGTAGTCAGCCTCTACTACTATAGCTATGGGGACTGGGTTGCAGCGGTTACATGCATATAAAATGTAGATTTACATGAATAATATGAAGGGGTCGTATTCTCCTTTATGTGAAGTTAATTATTAACAGATGCGCACGTGCATTCGAAGGGTATAGTGCACAACACATATAGCATGCGAATAAGCATTCGCGTATACGGAGCGCTTGTCTGTCCGATCAAACGCGTCGACCAACGCGGCCGCGTAACGGGGATTGTCCGAGTAAGACGGATTCAACGAAGTAGCCGAGTGTCAGAAGGAGGATTGTCTCTCCGAGCAAAGGCGTCGACCAAAGCGGCCGCGTGCACGACGGATGACCATTGTGTCCGAGCAAACGCGGCCGGGTACACGGATTGTCCGAGTGTAAGAAACGAGGGAGACATTGTCTGTCCGAGCACACGCGTCGACCAACGCGGCCGGGTAAACGCGATTCCACGACGTAGCCGCGTGTTAGACAGCAGGACGATTGTCTCCGCGCAAACGCGGCCGATTGTAACAACGATTCGACGAAGTAGCCGAGCACACGTGGCCGAGTAAGGGCTATTCGACGACGTGGCCGAGTGAAGCGGTTCCATTACGGCGTTCGAGTAAACGATTCAACCAAGTAGCCCCGGGACGGACGGCAACGACGTCGGCAACGGCGGACGCATTGATGTTGTTATACTGCGGGTTTTAGTTGTACGCAGAGACACAGTGCGTGAAGGGGTTCCGTGGAGACCGGTGTAGAAAGGGCGGCGGGGGGTGTTATTCATGACGGTGTGTGTAGTGTTTTTCCTATTTTTTTTTTTCTTCTTCATAGGGGGGATATTGTTCCTCTGTGGACCAGAGAGTCGTCTCTGTGTTGTGTAGATGGTGCTGTTCTGCATGTGTACAGTATGTTGTTTGTTTGCTCTCCTTTTTTTGTTTGTCTTTTCTTTTTTTTTTTTTCCCTTTTTTCCCGTTGTTGATTTCGTTTTTTTTTTTTTTTTTTCCTGTTTTACGTTGTTCTATTTATTTGTTATTTATGTTCTTACTTTCCGTGTTATTCATTATTTTCGATTGTGATGCTCCCAATTCCTAGTGTAACTATAAGGATTGTATATGTGTGCATAGGTTATATAACAGGATACATACCCCTTCTTTTAACGTGCATGGTACAGTTATATTTAGGCGGATGTTCATGAGTAGAGGACACGGAGTAATTTATAGCGTGCACAACAAGTTCTGCGCGATGCACTTTTGCAACATATGTACCACGCTATAGTGATTCAAGGGTAATTCAGTTGTCCACGTTATGATCTTAGGGCACAATGGCGGCACCGTTAGGGCATATATTGGCCAAGTATGTGAGGGATAGGCAACTATACGGAAATGATGAGTTTTATCAGGTAATTTATTAACACCACCATCGCGGGGCGTCGTGTACTTATAACAGCCTCTATATAGGATAGTATGCACACTTGCCTGTATGTATATTGTACGAATGCGCCCGTGCACTAATTCCATATAAAGAATACAATGGGAACGTAAAGTACGTGGAGTAAGCACCACGGCATAGGCACACATGAATATGGACGAGACAGCTAATGTGGCCAATTATGCACACACATATATGTTCCTTGTGCACAATGCAGACAAGCCTACGGACAGATATACAAGCGGAACTGGAACAATTTGTGGCACATATGGAACATGACGACATAGACAGCTATGCAGCTAATTGTAAAAACACGGGTTATACGCGTGAGGGTGGGGGCCAAGACTTCTTCAAACATAACGAGGGAGACGAACTTATTTGCAAACTCATGTCAGGAGCATTATTTTTCATGAATGCGAACAGTTGGACTAAGCGGGGTGGGAATATGGTGGTCAGTAATGATGATGAACTGAAGGACTATGTGCGGTGTGCCATAGTAAATATATTTATGTACATATTGCTGGCATCTCCATGCAGAAGTCAAATGGGTGTATATTATGCATGGGACACTGTGACCCAGATGGAGGGGATTATGGGTGGATTAATTACAGAGGGCAAGTGCAAGCGGGGAGTGTTTACAGACATACAAACACAGGAATTCGACATGGAGAAACAGATTACGACCTGGTTAAAGAACAACCCGAGCTTGACTGAAAAAATTGAAGGGCCAGCAATAAAAAGCAAATGCACGCAAAGATTACAGGACCTCGTAAGCGGAACCACGGGTACACATGCCATGGATGACAAAATACAACTGCAGACAACGCAGACGCACGTTATAGAGGACTTACGGCCAGAGACCACGGTATTGGTTCGGGAGGTGCCGCCGCAGCTCATGCAACCGGCGCGGGAACATGCTACATCCCCAAATCCTGACTCTCCCGCCGACGCATCGCACGACGACGATGAGGACGACGGCGATGAGCAGGAGGACGTGAATGGTAAGAACATTAGAGGAACACAGTGCTACTAATACTGGCAACAGGAACACGCACAATACGCACACGGCCGCATACTAACACGGCCGGCACGGACACGACCGCCACCGATACGACTCCGCACGCACGCGGCCACAACAACAACACGGCTGGCACAGCACAGCACGGCATCGTTGAGCCGAGCGAGCATCGTTCAAGACGGCAGTGGTAGCGGCGAAGAGGCACAGGACGAGGCACCGGACGAGGGCGGTCGAGGACGGCGACAAATAAAAGTTGTACTGCTACCCTCCATCCCGACCCAGTCGACCGAGTTCACCGCACCGTACGCTTTCTGTCGCCTGACCCAGTGCACCCGAGTCCCCGTCGACCCACTGCATCGACACACTCTATCGAGCCGGACCCCCACCCTGCTGTTACCTGACCGCACCGTCCCGGCCCCTTCTTTCTGTACCACTTGTGTCCTTTTTTTGTATCATTTTGTCGTTTTTGTTCCGTTCTCCGTTTTGTAGGTGCCGCGCCAAAGCCCGGTGCGGCCAAACCAGCAAACAGTAAAACGGTGCAGCCGACAACCGGGGACCAACCATCAGGGACAGGAACACCTCCAGGACAGGCAAGAGCAGATGAGTCAGCAGGAGAGGACCCGGCAGTGACACCGCCGGGTTCACCACCGTCATCGCAACCACAAGCACCTGCATCCCCAGTATTACCACCTGCACCAGAGGGATCAGCAGAGGGACCATCAAAGGAACCACCGGCGGCACCAGCAGGGCACCCTCAGGCCCCGGCATCGGCCAACACGAACGATGCGGGTACTACGTCGCAGACCGCTACGACAGCTGACGGTAAGCAATCACAGTCTACCTGCGTGACCCACATTAACGACAATAAGATCCATCAGACAGCTGAAGGCAACAACGCTGTGAGCGTCGGAATCACTATCGTGGATTCCTCATCCACTGGATGCTCAGGAAGTGGTACCCCAGGTAGTGAGTCCAATTAGAACAAAAAAAAGAGAGAAAAGAAAAAAAACAAAAGAAACAACAATTTTCCGGAGACAGCGGGAGCGACAACACGGAGAGCGAGAAACCAAACGTCGAATGAGAATGAGCGGCACGCAGAGCGGTGCGAGCGATGGATCGGCCGCGGGAGGTCGAGTTACCGCCGCGGCAGGTACAGCGTCGTAGAGACGTCCACAGACGCCGCCGCTGACGGACGTCGACGCAGACAGACACACACATGCACTGTGTGTTGTGTGTGTTGTGTTGTGTGTGGGCGAGAGAGAGTCTTTTACCGGGGTGTCACCATACCACCGTTCGCACCGTGGCACCAATGGTGCCACCCGTGTGGACGACCATCAGCGACTGCACGGAGAGTCCAACGATCGGTTGCATCGTGTGAGCAATCAAGCATCCAACGCAAACTTCAGTCTTCTCGTAGTTTTCTTCACCCTCCTTTATTTCAATTTACAGGTGAAGATCCCACAAAAAGTAACAGTGTACCAGAGCCTCCCGCAGCAGCGCAACCAGCCGCAGAAGCACCACCGACAGCATCAGAACCAGCAGAACCAACAGAAACAGCAACTGGAGCAGCAGGAGGACCAGCTGATGGTACTATCCAAGGTACTGTTGCAGCAGTTACCCCTAAGAACAAAGGGGATGATCCTCCTAGTGCCCCGAGCCGTGGTGACCACGTGGTAGATGGCGGTAATGATGACCCCCCTCCTCTCAATCCGCCCAAACCCAAACCGAACCCGAACCCAAATCAATCGGGTAGTAGTGGCGGCATCAGTGAATCCGGTAGTTCCGCAGCAGGCGGTGGAGCAGCTGGAAGTGGCGGAGGTGGAGCAAGTGGAAGTTCCTCATCCTCTCCTTCAGAACCCTCCAGTTCAGGTTCCGCTGAAATCTCAAACCCGGGTTCCTCCGGATCAGCATCTCCATCTACCCCGCAAACTCCTCAGATTCCTTCCACTGCCCAGAATGATCAGCCTGCACAGAACAAACCAGGAGAAGGCGGAGTCGCTGGTGGCGGCCTCAGATGGGAAGATGTCAAGCCGTACATCCCCGCGATCATTCCCGCGGTGGTTGGCATTGGGATCATTGCTTTTTTCCTATGGAAGGTAAGTATACACGACAATGCGGGCATGCTGCATTTGCATCCGTAATATGTACCATTAGCAAAGTGTTCCTCACGGGCCTGTTCTATAATTATTAAACAAAAATGCACTCTTCTACATCGTCCGCCTTTTTTCTTTGTCTTTTTTTTTGTTTAGTACTTTGCGTACCTCGCCAAACGACGACGAACATATCGAACCGTGCGTGACGTGCCGTCACCTCCACTCGACGAAGAAATTCTAGACCATCTACAACGCGGCGAGCCGCCACCCGATTACGGGTACACGATGATTAGGGATACGCGGCCCGGCAGATTGCCCGCCGCACGACGACGACGTCAACCGCGCGTGAATCGCCGCACGATTATCGAGCTACACTTAGAAGTGCTCAACGAATGTGAAGCGACCGAGTGGCAACACGTCAAAGAGGACTATTTGCAGATACTTGTGCAAGAGTTTATGGGGGGCAACAACGGGCACAGTAGTTTCCCGGATGCTCCTACCACAAAGCAGGGTTTATCAGGGAGCAATGTTTCGTCCACTGACTCCGACGGCAAAGATCCATGTCCACGTAACGAAGACGACCCCGATCCATGCAGTTGCATGGAAACTATACAGTTAGAACCGGGCCCTTGTCGACCTCATGATCCCGATGCATGGAGTTGTATGGAAACCATACCGTTAGCAACGGACCCTTCTGCTTCTAACGACGAGGACTACGATCCTTGGAGTTGTATGGAAACCATACAGTTAGCAACCGACCGTTGTCCACCCAATGAGGACGACCGATGGAATTGTATGGAAACTATACAATTACAAACGGGCCCTTGTCGACCTAACGCAGAGGACCGATGGAATTGTATGGAAACCATACAGTTAGATACAGCACCCGACGCGCACTCCTCCCCGCGGAATGAATGCCCGATCCCCGACCACACTAATTGGATTAACTGGATTGACCGCCACAAACATATTGTGCGGGCGTGCACGGGGCAACCGTGGTTTAATGCCCTCAAATCGGAATGGAAACAACACCTACGTGATCACATGGTGGCAAACGAGGATAACGGAGTATACGGCCATAGTGAATTCGGTGAAGCGGCAACCGTGCCGATGATGAAACTGCGGTGGTGGAAACAATAGGTAGCGCAACAACATCGGCAAATGCGTATGTATAACGCTGAGGAGTGGTTCCAACATTTGTTGAATAATGTAGAGGCGGACACAGTACCGCCACACGGCCACGCACCTATAGTGGACAAAGACGTAGAAGTGGAAAAAGCCATGGCCGCAGAACATATGCTACGAGTGAGAGATTTACCGCGCTCGCAACTGCATCAGCCACCGCATATGAAAAAACGGTTAACCGCTAAAACATGGATACTGCTCCTTGCATTAGTCATAGAACAGTGCGAGCTCGAACGCAATTTGCAGGAGACGGAGTCATATGTGGATGACCTATTGGACAAGCTCTGAAATTAGGCTGAAGTCAGGGGTATGCAGGATACGGAGTTATATGTAGATGACCTATTGGAGCAACTGTGACATTAGTATGACGGGGCATATGCATGCGACATAACGCATGCTGACCGTACACCACTTTTATTTCATTATGTGATATACATCATATATTTCTTGTTTGCACTATTACATACCGTCTTTTTTTTTTTTCTGCTCTGTTCTGCTTGTGCTTACTTGTGCTTACTTTTGCCTTGTTTTGTTCTTTTTCTGTGTAGTCCACTTCTTTTAATATGACTATGGGTACTGGGTTGTAGAGCTTACATGCATATAAAATGTAGATTTACATGAATAATATGAAGGGGTAGCATTCTCCTTTATGTGAAGTTCATTATTAAAACATGCGCACGTGCATTCTACGGGTATAGTGCAGCACACATACAGAACGCGCCTACGCATTCGAGTATAAGGTGCTTGTCTCCGCGCAAACGCGTCGAGCAAAGCGGCCAAGTGCAAGACCGATTCGACGGAGTAGCCGCGTGCACGACGGCGGGAGATTGTCTCGTCGAGCAAGCGCGGCCAAGTGTAAGAAGGATTCGACGACGTAGCCGAGCACACGCGGCCGATTAGACGAAGTAGCCGAGCAAAAGCGGCCGAGTTCAAGACCGATTCGACGCAGTAGCCGCGTGTAAGAAGGAGGAGAGCTGGTCTCTCCGAGCAACCGCGTCGACCAAAGCGGCCGAGTGCAAGAAGGAGCAGCATTGTCTCCGAGAAAAGGCGGTCGAGTAAAGGGGATTCTTCCCGGGTGTAAGAAAGGAGTGATTGTCTCTCCGAGCAAACGCGGCCCGGTAAAGGCGATTGTAGCCGAGTGCAAGACCGATTCGACGAAGTAGCCGAGTAAGGCGTTCGCGTGACGGATCCAGAGAGGGAGCAGAGAGCGTGCAGTGGAGCGTGGCGCAGGAAAGAACACACACATTATATCGGCGCGCGACAAACCAAGGACGCAAGGCGGCAACGACGGCAAGGACGGCATAAACGACGACCACAATTGATGTTGTTACTGCGGTTTTTTAGTTGTACGCACACAGAGACAGTCTGTGTGACGGCGTTTAGTGAAGAAGGCACGTGCGGGGGCGGGCGTTATTCATGACGCGTTGCTTGTAGTGTTTTTCCTGTTTTTTCCTGTCTTTTTTTATTCGTTCTTTTGTTTTCTTTTCTGTTTCTTCCCTGTGCCCTCTATTTGCAATTCCTATGCACATTTTCTGTTTTTTTAAATTATGCGTTCTATCTTTATGTGCTTAATTTTTTCTATTTTTATGGAACGTTTGATTTCAAGGCACGCAGCAGTGAACCAAGGCAGAAGCAGCATTATCGACTAAAATTGGACGCACGCGCGAATTCATGTAATATAACAAGAATACGAATACTAGTAGTCTATAGATATTTATAACGGGTACAGTATATTTAAGTGAATAGTAGTAACATGGGGTCGGTACATTTGGCGAAAGCCTTGGCGCAATGGGTAATCGCCGCGGGGAATCTCGATCAGGACAAGTATGAGGTAGGAATATACAGGAGTAGAGGTCACGGACGGGCAGTTCCGTGCTAGGCCTTTATTGTTACACTAGAGAATGCAGCGTATCGTGGCACATAGCATTCAAGTACACATGCGCATGTATATATTTCCTGTGTTTCTCTTACATTGTAGGAAATGGTGTGGAACAAGACCAAGGATGTAATGAAGGACTTTGTGGACTACATGGAGAGCGACGATATAATACCGTATGCAGCGAACTGTGATAACAAAGGATGGGAGCACTACGCGCATGAGAATGGTGCAAAATTAGTAACACAGAAAGTCGGAGATAGAATTGTATGCGTACTTATGGTAGGGGCATTGTATTTCATGAATGGGTGGCATCGTGCAGAACAAGTGAGAACAAAGGAGGAAGCCATTACCGAAAACATAAGGGAGCACTTACGATGCATCATAGTACACATGTTTAGCGAAGTATTAAACGAATCCGTGTGCAAAAGTACGTGGGGTACATATTACGCATGGCACACCGTGAAAGAGATGGAGCATGGGACAGGCGGTGTTTCGGGAGGTTTAATACAGCAGCGGAAATGTGGTAGAGATTTAGTTGCGCATGGGAACATAGGGGGACTTAGGTTAAATGCAGCAGTCAAAGAATGGTTACAGGCGAATAGCACACTACAACAACGACTTCAAAACGTGAAGGGAACTAACACGTGTCAGACCAAATGGCAGAAGGGATGGAAAATAGCGGATTTCTTGAACAATGAGAATATGGAGCATAAGGACACCTTAGGCATTACTGAGATAGTGAAAGGATTGAAGGAAGGCATGACCGACATATTTAGGGAAATCCGGAAACAGGTAGAGCAAGACGTAAAAAAAAGGCAACACGCAAAGAACAGGAAGTCCGGTAAGGCAGGCGACGTTTGGGCATCCTGAGACAGCTTCGCACGAAAGCGGAAGGATAAGTACAGACACGACAACTACAGACAGTGTCGACGTACAAGGGACAGAGCAATGCGAAACAAGCTGCAGTTATGTGAACAACGTTCGTTTCTGTATGCTTCGAATAATATAAAAAGTAAATACTGACACTCCTAATTCCTATTTGTTCCTTTATTGCAGCGACGGATGGCAAAAACGGACAGGCCGCCAGCGAGGCGGCAACACCATCAAAGGACACGTCAGGTAAGGACCGATGCGAGAAAGCACGAATACACTGCGCACACGAACACGGCCGAATACGAATACGCGGCCGCATACGGACCGTACGAACATGGATGCCGACACGGCCACAACACGCATACGTGGGGCAACAACAGCACAGAAAACGACTTCGCTGACGTTGAGCGGCGGCAACGATTATGTAGCAACGACGGAGTGTAGACGAGGTATGTGTATGTGCGGCAGCGGCCACTGTGTAGCGGCATCACAGTGGTGTAACAGCGGCCGTGAGGCACAGGACGGCGGACGAGTGTAGACGAGATGACGGACGAGATGACGGCGACAACAAATAAAAGTTGTACTGCTACCATCCCATACCACCTCACCGTGCGCTTGCTGCCGCCTCATGCAGTCCATCTAGCCCAGTCCAGCGAGTACACTGCGTCCACATTGACCCACAGCATCGATCCATGCATCGACCCACTGCATCGATCCATGCAGCCGACCCTACCCTGCCGCTACCTGACCGAACCGTCCCGGACCCTTCTTTCTGTACCACTTGTGTGCTATTTTTTTTTTATCATCATTTATGTTCTCATCTTTCCTGGTTACAGCAGACAAGGCCAAAAAAGACCAGGATCAAGGAAGCACCACATCATCAGACACAGCATCCGGAACACCCGGGCAAGAATCAGTAGGAACCACAGATACCACACCCGCAGGAGTAGCATCAGTGGGGAGGAATGATCCCACAACATCAGCAACAACGTCATCAACTTCAGCACCAACAACGTCAACAAGGTCCGTCCCAACAACATCGACAACAACCCAGACAACATCATCTACATCGCCTGAATCTAAAGGTAAGGGGACTACGTGTACGGCAAGTACCACAAGTGCTAGTACACATGGTGCAGCCATTACTCTGAACTTTGGGTGTACCTCAGACCAGGAGTTAGGAGTTCCACCCAGTACACTCCTGCGTCCCACTGATGCAGCGCCAGGTAACAATTCTTATGCACCATAGTGCACATAAACACCCGCTGGACTATTAGAGGAAGCAAAAAAAAAAAAAAAAAAAGCAACAACAATTTCCGGAGAGAGAGGGAGAGACAACACGGAGAGAGAACACAGAGAGAAACCAAACGTCGAATGAGCAGAGCGATGGGTCGGCCGCGGAAGGTAGCGGCCGGTAGAGGTACACGTCGACGTAGACAGACACACACACTGTGTGTGTTGTGTTGTGTGTCGGAGAGAGAGAGAGTCCTTTCCCGGAGTGGCACCGTAACCACCGTTACCCTACGGCCGGTTCTCCAACGGCCGTGAACGGTGAAACGGCGGCACGAACCAACACTCGTGTAGCCGATCGTTTGGCCAACCATCCTACCGCCGTCGCCCACGTGGATGTCAACCGTGTGGGCCACCATGAGCGAATGGACAATAGGAAACCGTGTAGCAGACCGTGGGCAAAACCATCCGAAACATAACTTCGGTTTCATCCATGTTCTTCTTTACCCCGGGGTACCCATATAGGAACTGAAGCAGGGGCCACCAACAACACCAAGGATCACACAACACCAGCAGCAGCACCAGCAGCGGAACCAGCACAGGGCGCGGGACCGGAGCCACCGGGACCTCCACGTGAACCTTCTGCTGGAACCAAAGACAAAAGTACGGCGCAGCCATCCGGTGCTGACAGCAACATTCAGATGCCGGTTGTCGCTAAGCCAGGTCCTACAGGACCCGAAGGTCGTGGAGGTGGCACCCCCACAAACTCTGATGATGCCGTATTCGGCCCATGGTCCAAATCAAACAATAGTATCTATCTATGGACAATAGAGACAGCGCCCTCCGACAGCGGCGGAAGCAGTGGACGAAGTGCTTCACCGGATGGACATCCACAAGGAGGTGCACAAGATGGAAAACCAGGCAGTCCCTCTAATCATTACTACGGTGTACCCTGTACTACGAAGGATGGCAACCCTGATTGTGATCTCAAATTAGCAGTACCATTTGAACCTACCACAAACCTCTCGGATGGACACTTTGGACCCGGTGCCACACCCGCTATACGGGACTTACACCACGACGGAGTCGGCAAGGAGGACGTGCCCCTCGATATTCCTGACCTAACCGACACCGTCCTTACCGCCACTACTCCCGTACTCTTCTTCCTGTCCGCCGTCATCGTCGCCGTTCTGGGTTATTCCCTTTGGAAGGTAAGTGCACACATCAATCAGGGAATGCCGCGCGTGCAGGATGTTTATACCTCAGAACATCCCTACGCGCACAAATATATGATCGTTCGCACCAATATACTCCTACACCCGCGTTCATTCCTTTTATCCTACCGTCCTCACCCTGCTCTTTACCCCCCTTTTTGTGTTTAGTACTTTGCGCACGTCGCCAAACGACGACGAACATATCGAACCGTTCGTGACGTGCCGTCACCGCCACTAGACGAAGACATATGGCAACATCTACAACGCGACGAGCCACCACCCGCTTACGGGTACACGATGGTTATGGATAGGCGGCCTGCATCTGCTGCCGACCGACGATGACGACGTAAACCGCGCGTGCATAAGCGCACGATCATTGAACTACATTTAGAAGTGCTAAACGACTGTGAAGCGGCCAAATGGGATACGGTGCAAGACGACTATTTGCAGATTGTCGTGCAGGAGTTTGCGCGTGACTTGGAGCGGGACCCGATTATGTGCAGTAGAATCTTGGATGTTCCGACCTCGCACGCCGCTTTAGCAACCCATGATTCGACAACCCTGCATCCACCCACTGACTGCGCCGGCACAGATCCATGTCCACCTAACGAAGATGACCCCGATCCATGGAATTGTATGGAAACCACACAGTTAGCAACGGACCCTTCTGCATCTAACGCCGATGACCCAGATCCATGGAGTTGTATGGAATCCATACAGTTAGATGCAGAACAGCGTCGTGCTCATTCCAACCCCGAGCACGCGCCGTCGTACTGCACCCACTGGATTAACTGGATTGAAGAACACAAACATATTTTGCGCGAGTGCACGACGCAGCCGTGGTTTTTGCAGCTAACGTTGGAATGGAAACAATTCCTGCGTGAGCACATGGTGGCAAACGAAGCATCCGCTGCGCACAGGAAAGCTGCATCCATGGAAACGCAGAAATTGCATGCATGGAAAGACTGGGTAGCGCAACAACATCGGCAAATGAGTATGTATGGCCAGGAGGCGTGGTTTCCACGTTTGTTGCATACTGTACAGGAGGAGAAAGTGTCGGACAACGGCGCCGTACCACGAGTAGAAAAACACTTAGAAGTGGAAAATGTAATGGCCGCAGAAGATGTTCTAAGAGTGCGACATGCACAACCGTCGCAACTGCATAAGCACACTTACATGAAAAAACCGTTAACCGCTAAAATATGGATACTGATCTTGGCATTAATCATTGAGGAGTGCGAGCTTGAAAGCCGTTTGCAGGAGAAGGAGTTATATGTGGATAATTTATTAGAACACCTTTGATATTAGGATGAACCAATGCGCACTTAAATAAATGGAAATGACACATAATAAGAACAGTTTTCTTTTCCCCATTGAGCCATATACATAGTATGTTGCTATGCTTACGTTACTTCCTACTTCTTCTTTTCTTTTTTCTTTTTTTTTGTTTTCAACAGGTTTCTTCATTCTAAACAATATTGCTTTGCATTTCTCTTCTTTTTTTTCTTTTTTGTTCTTCCCTTGCTCCTTGTGAAGGGGCGGGTGCTGTAGCCATACGTGAAAATTATGTTACCATAATATATAACTTTTCCCCTGTACATAAGTATAAAAACTCTCCATACACAAACCTTTCATAAGTTAGACTTTAAACTTTTTTTTTTTCGCGATAAAATATACATGCACAAAAAATTGTGTTTGCATCGCCGTTATAAAATAATGTGATTGAACGCATTCTCGTTCCAAACGATTGATTAAGGCACCTAGTATTTTATATCATCAGCGCATTATGCGGAGAGTATAAAGGCAATAAAGCCGTAAATTACATATACTCCTGTATATATGTAACGGTTCAGTTACAAAAGAAACATTTTCCATCTAAAACCTTACAACTGAACCCCCACACATTATTCTAATTTTAAAACGATGTTTCCTCTTCTAAAGCTCAAAAAAATGTATCTTCTGTGTATTGTGCTTTTTTTTTTTTTTTT